ACATAATGATTGCGATTTGGTTGCGATCTGTTCGAACACATATGATGGATATGAATGTCAATGTCCGCCAGGATTCTTAGATACATCACCTGATCCTTTACGCTTACCAGGAAGGAAATGCACTCAACGTAAATTTCATTAATTTGCATAAGCACAGGAGCTATTATGTTAACAAAACTAAAGTTACAGGAAAAGTTCATGTTTTTTGTTAGTACTAATGAAACAAAAATTAATAACGAATTAGAAAAATTGAACAAATTAAAATTTTATCAATAATTAAATAACAATAAAGTAACATTTCCAGTAATTAATGAGTGTGGTACAAATAAACACGATTGTTCACCATACGCTACATGTGTCGATACGTTGGAATCATACCTGTGTCAGTGTAATGCCGGATTTAAGGATGTTTCCTCACGCTATGATTTAAAACCTGGACGACGCTGTGCTCAATGTTTGTCGTGCACATTAATTTTATAATTGGATTATACATAGTATAATTTAATTATAGCATAATTCAATCCAAGTCGTTTATTTATTTTAATTAAAATAATTGTAGCCATGAATCAATGCGCTAATCGATTAGCGAATTCATGCGATGAAAATGCGGACTGTGTAACATTACCCGACGGCTATACTTGCATTTGTGCTACCGGATATTTTGACGTTTCCAGTAATGCTAAGCTACCACCCGGACGTGTATGCACCCTGCAAACTCAGTGGTAAGCAAAAAGCTTATTATTGTTTTTAAGCTATAATCTATGCAACTGTTACGTCATCTCACATGTTTAGCTTACAGTGAATATGCGAGGCATATCATCAAAAATCATCAAAAAAATCATTTTCTACTTCACAGCAACGAAAAATATTACAAGAATATTATAGATTTAATAATTTTTCTTACTTTTATTCACATGGATATTAGTTGTTAAGAACTCCATACTTAATAAGAAAATAAAGATGAATTCTCGTAATTCTCTCAATACCGAATATCTCCAGGACATTTTGAATTCTGATTGCCGATTTTCCAGAAATTTATTTTGTGACAATTAATATTAATAGTATGGTTTAAGCCCAGCGCAATCAACAGATCTTGTTTTTCTAATCGATGGAAGTGGTTCGATTGGTTATGATATCTTTCATAAAGAGGTCCTAAAGTTTACTTAAGTTTTAAAATTTAGTTGAAACCATTGTGAAACAGTTATCGCTGTACTTAAAGATTTTGGCTATATTAATTGTATTAGTTACGAAGAATTGAAATAATACGAAATGAAAAAATATGTTACAGTTTCCGTGTACCACAAGAATTTTAAATTAATTTTGCTTGTAGGTGCTCCGTTTTGTGAAAGATTTCGTCGAGTTATTTGATGTTTCTCCGCAGCAAACTCATGTAGCTGTAGTACAATATTCAGATCTTATTAGACATGAAATCGACTTAAATCAATGTTCTTCGATAGAACAATTAAAACAAGCTATTGACGGCATCGAGTAAGTTAATTTATAGCTTTTAAAAAATCCCATCTATAGACTTTCAGATACATTGAAGACTCTTCATAAAGTAATATCGAACTACCAAAACATTACAGTAGTAAAGATTTATTCAATACTTTGTGCCATCAAATGATTATTTATATGATTCATTTTCAGATATTTGACGGGTTTAACGAGAACGGGTGCAGCAATACAACATATTACTGATGAAGCATTCAGTGAACGTCGCGGTGCTCGACCGCTTGACAGTAAAGTACCACGAATTGTTATTGTTATAACAGATGGACGATCGCAAGATGATGTTACCACATCTGTGCAAAATGCAAAAATGAAACAAATACAGCTTTTTGCAGTTGGTGTTACTAATCACGCATTAGATGCTGAATTGGAATTAATTTCTGGTATTTTTCTATAACATTTTTATTAGAATTTCATATCTGTCCCGATTATAATTAGTAATATCTCAAACTATGTGATATAGTTTTTAAATGCTATTAGGCCATTTTATTTCACTTATTATTACTTTACTAATACCTTTTTTATGCATTTAGCGAAATTATTATTTTATCATACTATGGAAAATATCGAAGTCGTGAGAAGTTTGATAAAAATGTTAAAGTCATGAAAAACTTGCTCGTCGTCTTCACAGCCATATAAATTTCCACAACAATAGACAAAGTTTTTACTTAATAAATTGTCAAATTTATGTATTTTGTGATATTGTATTCGTTTTAGCTGATGGCATCCGAATCGACAATCGATTTCAATATATGAACATTAGAGGATCTATCTTTTTTAGGATCAAAGAAACGAACATTTCATGTGAATGCATTTGAAGAATTGAATGCTCGTTTGCGAAGCGCAATTCAAAAAGTAACTTGCCCAGCCAATATTTCTGTTCCACTAATATTTCAAGGTTAACCTTTTGATTATTTTAACTTTTTATTTTAGAATTTCTGGAAGATGAGTAAAATGCAACCAATAATATCATCTTAAAATCTAAAATAACTTGTTCTGAAATACCGCAGATTAGTATAGCACATATTTGTATCACAGATGAATTATTTGAAAGCGCGAAGAAATGAAATCAAGTAAAATATTATGAAAAGCATTGCAGATATTTCATTAATATTGTTTGTACTGTTTATAAAAAAACATCATCGAACAAGATCTGCCTGGCTATTGACATTCTTCTTATATGCTGCATTCGTTACAGGCACAGAAGGTAGGGAGTGGGATATTTTATACCTTCGAAACTTTTGAGGCCCATGAACAAATTCCTCCATTATTTTGTTTGAGAAATAAATAAATACATTCTAAAAACAGTAAAGAAGTTAAAGAAATAATTGAACAACTTCTAAAAAGAACGTAGTTTATGGGGCTTCAGAAGTTACGAAACAGTTCCATGTTAAAATTTTTTTCAAAAACAATATAAATTAATTGAATGAATTATTTAATCGATATCATTAAGCAAAAGCACCATTAGCAAGTTTGAAGTTCATTCTAATCTTTTTTTATCTGTTCAACGTGTCCAATTTGTTCTAATTGACCAAAGATCTACGTGTGAAATACAAATATTTAACACTAACGATTCCATTTTTTTAATCTTCGAAACATAAAAGTTTATCTAATTTCTTTCGCCTTCATCAATCTCATCAACATTAAGATTGAAATGAGATTGAATTGATTGCATTTATTAATATTGTACTAATAAGCAATCAAATTTATTCAAGGGGTGGGAATTATGCTAAAAATTTATTAAAAACCATGAGATGATGCTAATGCTGTTAGTTAATTGGTTTGAATAATATTTATTTTTACAATTATTCTTATAAGTTATTTTTATCTTTCCGTTAATTAAGAAAGAAAGATTGATATGGTGAAATGGATGGTTATGTTTATTATCTGTTAGTGTTTAGTTGACATTTATTTCTATTTGTTTGAATATTTATTTTAATTAGTAAAGAAGATTGTGGAATCCAGTGGCAATTTACTTTATTTTAATTAATGCTTTTATTGTTTGTTTGAATTTTTCTCAATGCATGTTTAAATTATTTTATTAATCTTACCATTATATATACCAAATTTTTATTTATTTTGTTTGTGTTCTGTTTAAAATTGTACAAATATTCGTTTTATTAGGATAGACAGAATTTTTTTAGTATTATTTTAGAATTAAAAAGAAATAAATTTTTAAAAGCATTCAAATTTCAGAGAATTGTGTTCTGCAAACTCATGCAGGATGCGATCGATCGCTGAATCAAATATGTGCAATGGAAAATGGAAAACCTCGTTGTACCTGTCCAACAGAATTCGAACAACATCCGATTACACGGGTATAGATCTATGAGGGGTATAGGTATAGATATTAGTCACAAGTATAAATATGTAATTTAAGCAATTGTCTGTATATTTTCTATATTTGCGCACAACGGTCTTATTTTACAAAAAGACTATTCATGTGGCATGAAGTGTTCGAGAATTTTGCAACTTGCTATTTTTGATTCACGTACTGTGCTTTCCATAATCCAGAATACATTTAGCAGCGTCTTTTCAGCTTTCGTGAGATTCTCAGACATTTATTTTCGAATAAATATAGATGTTTTGAATTCCGGAACCTTTCAAGTAATAAATAACTTATCGTCAAATAGGTAGCATAGATGGACGAAATTCTAATATGCGCCTTTGTTTTTTTTTTTCAGGTTTGTGGTGGTGCTTTATGCAATCCACAACTTCTTTCCTCATGTCCAAGTCCTGAAATATGCCAGTTGGCACCACATGGAAATCACAGATGTACATGTCCGCTTTACTTCGTACGAGACCAGAAGTCTGGTGCTTGCAGTAAGTCTTTCAGCTAATTTTTTAATTTTTTCGTTTTCGAAATTTTCAACACAATATTTTTGAATTTGCAATTTTCTTGCCACTTAACAATACACGGCAATACAAATTCTTGAACAGTTGCTTCAATTGTTGTGGAACTTTAAAGTTTTTAGCAAGCAGTCATGTACCATCAATGCCTGGCATAGTGCCGGATATAGATGAATGCGGACAAAAAAAACCGTGTAAGGAAAACGAACAGTGTATAACATCTTCATCCGGAAAACAAATCTGCCAGTGTCTGTACGTTCTTTTATCAGATTGAAATTTTAAAAGAGTTTTAGCAAAAATCTAATAAAATTGATTGAGAATTAGATATTAAAAATAATGGATAAATTTACTGTAAGGATAGAATAGTCAATAAAAATAAACAATAATAAGGATAGGTGTTCGTGATATTGAAAAAGTTACATATAGAATAAGTAAATACTTCAGGCCTGGCTATGTAACTAATTCAAATGGTAAATGCCAAGTAAGCGGAACATGCGAACCATATTTGCCGAATGCTTGTGATAATCGAAGACATGAAGAATGCCTTCCGGATAATCGTGGAGGATTCATTTGTCAATGTGCCGTCAATCAAATCCGGCATCCTATCACCCAGATTTGCTGTAAGTGAATAAAAATTAGATGGCATCATGGGAAATGCAATAATGAAATATTGAAATAAAAGAATTTAGTACAAACAGTACTCATAAAACAGTGACAGATGAATATCGCCAGAGAATATCATTTATGTGATCAACATCACAGATTAGCTAAAATAATCAATTGATTTGACAATTAGCACTTGCAAGATTGGCTGTTAAAGACATGTACATATGCAGTGGTGGATGAATGCGCTGCCAGAACGCATGACTGTGATAAGAATGCGAACTGCATCGATACCGATGAAGGATATATTTGCACATGCAAAGAAGGTTATATAGATGAAAGTCCGGATCCATCGCGAAGACCCGGAAGAGTTTGCCGATTACGTATGTACTCGTTTCTCCATTCAGTAATAAATAATCGTGCTATTCAGGATATTAAAAATTTAACCTTTCATATCGAAATTCTAGAAAATTTTTAAAAAGTTTTCTGAAATATTCATTTAGTAAGTTAATTTAATGCTGTAAATATAGTGAGGAAAATTTTAAGGATAATTATGCATTTTATTAATTGCAGAAACGGATGAATGTGCTCAGGGCACCCACAACTGTTCAGTAAATGCAGATTGCATTAATTTGCCGAAAGGATTTTTATGTCGATGTAAAAATAATTACGTGGACTTCAGGTACGCATTTCATATGAATTGATAAAATCATTTGTTTCTGTACTTTGTTCTTTTCTTTAAATTTCTCGGCTGATTTCTGAATATATTGAGAGATATTTGTCATGATATGTTCTGAGTATCACTGGGTACCTGAAACATATAGGATACTACTGGACTTTCTTCAACATCCAGCCCTCCTTGTTAAATTGTGTTATTAATAAAGATCAAAGAGGAAAAGTGTAAATTCGAAATTTGATAATTTATAAATTTGCAGTCCAAATCCACAATATTTTGGTGGCACATACTGTAAACCGCTAGTAAATGAATGTGCCAACAAATCACTAAACACATGCAGTAAAAATGCTATTTGCATTGATACAACGGAAAGTTACAAATGTCAATGCAAAGATGGCTTCATTGATCATGACGAACTTCGAAATCCGGGAAGAAT